GAATGCCCCTAGTACGTTCCAGAAGTACATTAATTAGGCACTACGCGATTACCTCGACGTCTTCTACTCGGCCTACATCGACGATATCTTAATCTACTCGTACGGATCGCTTACGCAGCATCGAGAGCACGTACGAAAGGTCCTACAGCGATTACGCGAAGCGGGACTGAGAATCGATATCGATAAATGCGAATTCGAGGTTAAATCGACGAAATACCTTAGATTCATCATTGAAGTAGAGAAAGGCGTACGAATGGATCTAGAGAAGGTGAAGGCGATCCTCGACTGGGAAGCCCCTAAAACAGTGAAAGGAGTATAGAGCTTTATCGGGTTTACGAACTTCTACAGGAAGTTCATACGAGACTTCTCCGAGATCGTACGCCCTATTATGACTCTCGTACGAAAGGATACAACGTTCTAATAGTTAGCGGAGGCAGACTAAGCCTTCGTACGGCTGAAGAAGATGTTCACGACGGCCCCGATCTTAATCCTTTTTAACTACGAAAGAGAAACCATCCTGGAAGTCGACGCGTCGAAATGGTGTGTCGGGGGAACGCTCTTCCAAGTTGACGACGAAGGAGTCGTACGCCCCTGCGCGTTCTTCTTAAAGAAGAACTGTCCAGCCGAATGTAACTACGAGATTTACGATAAGGAAATGCTCGCTATTATACGATACCTAGAGGAATGGGACGCCGAACTACGAAGCGTCGAGAAATTCGAGATCCGGTCTGACCATAAGAACCTCGAATACTTCATGACCGTACGAAAACTAACTAAGAGACAAATACGTTGGTCCCTCATCCTATCGAGGTATAACTTCACAATCACGTACGTCCCCGGGAAGCAGAATATTCGAGCAGATGCCCTCTCTCGAAGAGAGTAGGACATACCTCAGGACTAAGAGGACGAGAGACTTCAATATCGTACGACCCGCCTTATTACACCTGAGATGCTGGACGGGCGGGGATCCCAGGCGCTACAGGTAAATGTTACATCAACGGAAGAACCATCGATCGAGGAACAATGGAGAATAGCTCAACGGGACGACGAGACCTACCAGGAGGCTACTGAGTCTGTACGAAGAGGAGCCCGTACGTTCCCCTCCGGCCTAGGCCTAAAGGTATCGATCTTAGAATGCTCCCTTAATAAGGAAGGGCAGCTACTATTCCGAGGTCGGCGCTGGGTGCCTAAATTAGAGGCTCTCCGTACGGCGATCATCTAACAGGTCCACGACTTAATGATTACAGGCCATCCTGGCCGGGAAGGTACGGTAGTAATGATGGTAAGACAGTTCTTCTGGCTAAATATACTACAAGACATTCGAAGGTTCGTACGGAACTGCGATATATGCGGACGAATGAAGGCCTAGAAGGAACGAAAGTAGGGATTCCTTAAGCCTCTCCCGATCCCCGAGCGACTATAGAGAGAAGTATCAGTCGATTTCATCACAGAACTCCCAGAGAGCTAGGGCTGTACGAACCTCATGGTCATTACAGACCGACTAGGAAAAGGAGTCTTACTGGAACCATTACGTACGATCGACTTAAGGGACGTGGCGAGGATCTTCCTACGGACATTCTATCGTCAACACGGACTACCATCAGCTATTGTCTCAGATCGTGGCCCTCAGTTCGTAAGTATACTATGGAAGAGGGTCTGTCAACTCCTGAATATCGTACGACGACTATCGACGGCCTACCACCCGGAGACAGACGGCTCTACTAAGCGAATGAATCAAACGGTTGAAACGTACCTTCGTACGTTCGTGAATGGAAAACAGGACGATTAGGCGGAACTCCTACCTATAGTAGAACTAGCCATTAATAATCGCGACGTACACTCGACAGGAGTAAGCCCCTTCTTCCTCCTACACGGATACTACGTCGAACCGCTTCAGCTATAGGAGCCCCTCCGTACGACGGAGACTCCTCGAGGGCCTATACAACACGCAGACCTTATCGTACAACGACTCCGAGAAGCGAGGAACTGGGCGCAATCTTCAATGGCTATCGCGCAACAAGAACAGGAAGAGAGAACGAACCGATCACGACAGCAAGCGCCGCAGTTCCGAGTCGGCGATAAGGTATGGCTGAACTTAAGGAACGTACGGACGACGCGTACGAACAAGAAACTGGACTGGAA